GTAATACTTAAAGGTGTAAGCAGATACTAAGGACTTCTATTTGTCACATTCCCGGCATACCTCTCTCGCTTTTTTTCATACATATATTTATACCTTTTATATCTGGTAGAGCCACGCTGCAGCTGTATTACGGTTGTAGCACGAATACGTCGGCTCGATCATTATAGGACCATCCTTTCACAAAATACCAGAGTTTAGCAGCTAAATGCATTTTGATTAATAATCGGGGATAAATTTAAATGTCTATGAGCCACAGCATTCACATATCATTAGGTGGATTGTGTGCTCATTTGTCGCCCCAATAAAAATTATTCTATTCTATACCAAAAAAAAATTTACGCATATATGCTTGTCGTTTAAGATTTCTCTTAATTTGGCCCATCTGCAATATAATCTATATAGATATATGTATATATATGACCTGAACCTGAGCTATTACGATCGTTATTGATCTGTCAAAATTTACCTTCTTATATTGTAGCAGTTTTTTTATTGCCTGAAAACACGGACAGAAGGACATTTTCTAAAAATAAATCCTAGCTAGATCGATTTATGGCCCCCGAAACTCCCTGGACACTAAATTTTATGAAAATCGTTCGAGCCGTTTCCGAGATTCCGATTATATATACATATATATATATATATATATATATACAAGAATTGCTCGTTTATAGGTATAGGATACCTCTAAGGAATATATAAATGAAAAATAATCCCTGCGAATGAGATGACAATTACCATGCTGGTTATATTATAATTCAAATAAATAATTGTAATTTATGTCTAAAAATAATAATAATCTCAGTTTCATACTGGTTTTTCCCAGGTTCCTTTTCATTACAACCAGTAGTTAATAAAAAAATTGACTTCCAATAAGTATTATGTAATAAGTAATAACCAATACTGGATAAAAATATTCTATTCCATTCTATACTCCTAAGGTCATTACGATTATAAAATGAATGTCGATTGTCCTCGTCAACGTCGTCAACCCACTTGCCCATATTAAGATATGTATATTACAGTATAATAATGGCTTCAGGATCTTGTTGGGGCTACCCCGATTTCGCAGTGCATCAGGCATGTTTGCAAAGGCGCGTACAGATGACTATTTATTACGCCCTTATAAGGAAGAAAACAGCCTCGTTGCTTGGCAGGGTGCGGGCTAGCTCCAACTCCATCATGAAAGTAATTGCTGAAAGATACGACTCATTCCTCCTTAAGCAATATTACCGCCTATGTTTATTTAATAAGGCGCTTGTATTTAAGAATTAGATTTAGGTACTAACATAGGTTATAATTTCCATATTTACTAACAAATTTTGTGGATCACTTGGATATCTGAAATAAAATTATTATTATTTTATTTTGAGGTATCTATATAATTTTCTCACCTGGTTGGATTCTATAAATACATAATTATAAATTAACATGAAAAGATAAATATACATAAATATCAATAAAATAAAATAAATACAAAAACTACATAAATAAATAAGATTATTATTATTATGGGGTATCTATATAGTTTTCTCATCTGGTTGGGTTCTATAAATATATAATTATAAATGAAAATGAAAAGATAAATATACATATCAATAATATAAAATAAATATAAAAATACATAAATAAATAAAAGCCCAACCAGATGGAGGCCCTCGGCAGGGGGAGACCAAACGGCCGAGGGTTAGGGGGAAAGGGAAAGAAACCGGCGGACGATGCGGGCGGTATCGAGGAGCACCGCCTTCTGCATTTGAGCCCGGAGCGGTCCGCCACGTAGTCCCAGTCGCCTCAGATGACGAGAGAGGCCGACTGGGATTAGCCCGTTTGCAGAGACGACTACAGGAATAATTTCGGTCGGCAGACCACCCCACATGTCAGTCACCTCGACTCGAGCCAGGTCCAGATATTTTGTTTGCTTGTCTGTTTCGGCTTTCACAAGGTTCTCGTCATCCTCCGTATCCGTATTAGTTGTAAGGTCTGTTTTGACCTTTCGATAAGTAGTTTCATCCGACAAAAGTTGTTGTATTTTAAAATTGTAATCTGACATATCCATTATAACCGTAGAATTACCTTTATCTGCGCGGAGAATCGTAAGCTCTGGTCTGTTGCGTAAGTTTTTCAACGCGTTAAATTCATTTTTGGGGAGATTTAATTTCGGCGCTGAACTTCGACGTAACATAGACGAGATGTCTTGACGTATGGCCTCTAAATCTTCATTACCAATATTATTTTTATACAGACAGTCCTCAACACTACAGATAATGTCCTCATACGGTATTTTTCGCGGTGTTATTGCGAAATTAATAACTTTTTCTAAAACTTATATTGTGGCGTCGTCCAGTGTTTGTTTTGATAAGTTGTAGACAGCGCGTTGTTTATGATTCGTCGGTCAACGATTTCGTATGTTGGACATTTGATTTAGTTGTTAATTTATGGTATTTATCAATGTGTTTATTTTTTTTTTATGGAGTTAGAGGCAAATAATTCCTTACCTTTCCTAGATGTGTTAGTCATCCGAAATCCTAATAACACCATTGGTCACACTGTGTATAGGAAAAAGACCCATACAAACCGATATTTAAACGGTGAATCTCACCACCATCCTTCACAGTTAGCTACCGTGGGCAAATCTTTGTTACAGAGAGCACGAGGGATCTGTGACAGCAAACACCTGGCCGCCGAGCTTCAGCACGTCAAGCAAGTTCTGCACGACAACAAGCTTCGGGTCCCGCGCCTACGTCACAGTGACCGAGTGAAGCCGGCCACAGTCGAGCGTGTGCCTGCTGTACTACCATATGTCAGAGGTGTCACAGACAAGATTGGCTATATCTTGAAGCGAGCTTCTATTAGAACATTCTACAAGCCGCCGAAGAAGATTAGTCAGTTCCTACCATCCGTCAAGTGTCATATTCCTCTACAAGATGCAGGAGTGTACAAGCTTGATTGTGAATGTGGTCTCTCTTATATAGGACAAACCAAAAGATCAATTAGGACCCGCGTAAAAGAACATATAGCTGATGTGAAGCATCAACGTTCCGGGAAGTCTGCAGTTTGTGATCATATCCTAGACGGCCCCAACCATTACATCAGATTTGATAGACCACAAATCCTCGCGAAAGAACACCGATTCCTACCAAGGATGATACGTGAGGCTATTGAAATTAAAAAACATCCTAATTTCAATAGAGAAGGAGGCTGGGTACTACCACCTGCTTGGGATCCTATAATCAATAAAATTAAAACTAAACCCAAGCATACCACTGCAAGACCTCAGGACAAGGGTTTAACAATGACATCGGGACGTCAGTCATCTCAGTCCCCCGTGACCATGGGTGCTGGAAAGCGCCCGAAACGTCGGGAATTAAAAATAAAAAGTAAAAATAAACGCGATAAAATCCGTAAAAGTAGTTTTAATCATGTGCAATGTTCGCGTAAATATAAGAAATCATTATAACCTGATCCTGTATTGCACAGACAAAACCCTCGGTTTCCCCGAAGAGATCACCAAAGCGTAGCCAGTGGAGGGAGGCTACTGTGTCTACGAAAGGCTCATGTAGAGCCTTGTAGAACCTCCCGTGGAGCTCCTTCTCCTTCCATACGTTCTTCCGGTCGGAAATTGTCTGCACTTCCGGGTCTTGCCATTGCTCGTTGGCTAAGGATAGAGGGGTAAGTTCTTTATCACTAGAAATGACGTCCTTATAGAATGGATCATCCAATCTCGCCAGGAAGTAATTACGGAGGCTGCACACTTCGCGATTATGCATGGTGAGCGCGCTCAAGAAGCCACGCCCACCATGTTTTCGTGGCAAGTACAGCCTCATTACCGACGATCTCGGATGATGCATCCTGTGGGATGTCATGGTAGTGCGGACTTTTCTATCCAGGGCGTTAAGTTCAATCTGAGTCCACCTGAGTATGCCAAAGGTATACATGAGGACAGGCATGACCCAGCCGTTATATGCGTGTGTCTTATTCACACCGGACAAAAAGGCTGTTAAGCACTTTGGTCAAGCGTGCATAAAACACGTCGCAAACTGACTGTTTCATACCAGCCTCATCGATACCGATGTTCTGTGACATACCCAAGTATCGGTATGTTTCAGCCTCGGAAAGGGTCCTTAAGTTGACGGGCATAGATAAGTCTATGCCCTCAGAGTTAGCAACCCTCCCCCTTTCAACATGGAGGACCGCACACTTATCCGTTCCCAGCTCCATTCCAATAGAATTGCTAAATTCACAAGTGATGTTTAGCAATTCCATAAGATGGGAGCGACTGGAGGCGAATAACTTGAGGTCATCCATATAGAAAAGGTGGGTCACTTTTGTACCTCCTTTCCGAAGCTGAAATCCCCTCCCAGAGCCCTCCAGTAAAGTACTGAGAGGGTTCAGGGAGAGGCAAAACCAGATTGGACTCAGACAATCGCCCTGGAAGATACCCCTTCTTATCCTTATGTGGTTCTCCGCAGCCATCATCCGCTCGCCCAGATCGTACTCCATTGCCCCATACACTGCTCAAGGAAGTCTCCAACTGTACAGTCAATTTTGTACAGCTGGAGGACTCTCTTTAGCCATGTATGGGGCACCGAGTCGAATGCCTTTCTGTAGTCTATCCAGGCGGCGGAGAAATTCCGACGGTTGCGTTTCACCACTTTGCCAATGACCGCGTCAATGAGGAGTGGTTCCTTGGTTCCACGACCACCGCCCCGGCATCCATTTTGAGCGCGTGACATCACCTGATTTAGCTCCAGGTGACGAGTGATTCTCGCGCTCAAAATGGATGTCAGTGTCTTATATATGGTGGGTAGACACGTGATGAGGCGATATTTGCTCGGGTCTGTGGTATCCTGATCTTTAGGAACCAAATGAGTGATCCCAGTAGTGAAGAGGCTCGGGAGCGACTTCTGATCGAGAGCCTCTTGAAACTGTCGGGCGAGCACAGCGTGACACACTACGAACCCCTTCAGTCAGTAATGATGCAGCCCGTCGAGCCCCGGACTTTACCAGTTCGGGGCCCTACGGACCGCCTCAGCCACGTCTTCAGGCGTTATGGCGACGGGGTCCATAGGCGTAACACTTGCATTCTGGCTCGCCACAACTTCCATCCAAGGGCCCTCGCTGTGGTTTACGGGCTCTGACCACAGGCCACGCCAAAATGCGACAGTGTCAGCCTGATCCGGTCCTGGGCCCGCTCCACATACCTCTGGTCGCTCCAATGATTTATAGAGCCTCTTCTGATCACTCTGGAAGAGACGATTCTGGTTGAACCACCTTGACCTCTCGCTAAATCGTCGAATCCGCTTCCCCCAAGCAGCGATTTTTTGCTTCAGGTCATCTATGCGCTCCGTTAGTTTTTGCGTGATATCCGGCTGGGACAAACTGATATTTGTCCCAGCAAACGCCATCCTAACGGTGCGCATAATCCTCGGTCTATTATTACCCGACCTGAAGCTTGTCAGTCTGCCGATAAGGGCCCTTGCCTTTGCGATACGGTCCTCGATTCTTTTTCTCCAGGCTGGGATGGCGCTACTTTTTTGAGTAGCACGTCCAGCCACGGGAAGTTTGGCGCCAATAATACGGCATACTGCCAGTGCGGCGCCTAAAAGAATTGAATCCGTCTCGCAAAGGTCCCGGCTGGCTTCCAAATAGGTCACCAGCATTGGGTTAAGAGCCCGCACGACAGCCCGATTTCGCTTGCTAAGGGGTATGCGGGGAAGTCGCGGTCGATTTTCGAGAGGCATGTTGCGCGTTTCCAGCATCGACTCTTCCAATATGCTCCTCATTTTCTCTAGTTCGTGGGAGACTATTCCATCATCGTCTGAATTTGCCACAAATGGAATATTGACGGCAGCATCCACATATGCAGTTTGTTGCGCATCTAGTGGCGCCGCATTCCCAGCCGTAGCATTTCCATCCGATGAAGGAATAGCCTCACGTCGTAGTCGCTCGAGTTCGGCGTCACAAATATGTTGGAGCGCAGGATGTACCTAACTCGGTCTGCCAGGTTTTGCTCAGTGACGGATAGAGATGGCTCCAGCTCTGCAAAAAAAGCGATGCATCCGAGCCCGATACGCCAAACTTCCAGTTTCTTCCCCTTTTGCCCTAAAATACGCCCGCAGTGCGTTTTCATTCATTGATTTAGACCAACGCATGCGACGTGCTCCACCAGCGGCGGGTGCCGCTTGCTGAGTCCGAGAAGACCCAACCGACACCAAGCCTTCTGGTGGGGATGATGGATGCGGGGGCTGCTAGGTGGTCGTGCAACACCCCGCGCTCGGCTGGCGGCCCGCATGCTGTCGCGTCCAGCGCCGGCTCCAGACGCGCCCCGGCGACCTCCAGGCAGCGGCCCTTTGCGCGTTCTTACTATCTTGCATTTCTCCATTCATCCTTATTATTATTATTATTATTATTGTGGGGTATCTATATAGTTTTCTCATCTGGTTGGGTTCTATAAATATATAATTATAAATGAAAATGAAAAGATACATAAATATCAATAACATAAAATAAATATAAAAATACATAAATAAATAAAAGCCCAACCAGATGGAGGCCCTCGGCAGGGGCTTAGGGGGAAAGGGAAAGAAACCGGCGGACAACGCGGGCGGTATCGAGGAGCACCGCCTTCGGCATTTGAGCCCGGAGCGGTCCGCCACGTAGTCCCAGTCGGCTCAGATGACCCGAGAGGCTGACTGGGATTAGAACGGTTATTATATATATATATATATATATATATATATATATATATATATATATATATATATATATGTAAGTACATGTGTACTTGCAAAAACTGACAAAGCAAATATATGTTGCAGAAATGAATGGAAGAGTCGGAAAGGGACGTCCTAGGCGGAAGTTTGTCGATCAAATTGGCGATATACTAAAAATGGGCCAAATTAAGAGTACCCTTAACCGACGAGCATGTATGCGTAGGTATATGGAGGTGGAAGAGGCGAGAAAGGTATGTCAGGCTCGTGCTAAATGGAAGTCTGTAGTCTCTGCCTACCCCTCTGGGTGACAGGCGTGAGTGTTTATGTATATATGTATGTACTTGCAATTTTTCTGGTATTGCAGATGTACATAGGCGGCAGTAGTACATTAGGTAAGTCTCATTGTCATTGTCTCATTGTATAATAAGCCCTATCTAGTATTTAAAAGTTGCAACAGATTTCTACTACAAGAGGTGGTGGAATCATCGGCACTGAACACTAAATGGTGTATTTGTTGCTTAAGGATTTTGGAAAACGCAGCAATTTTTCAATCTAGTGTACAAAGTGTGTTTATTTTATATTATTGTGGAGTATGAAAGCCATATTGTAGGCTTATGAAAAAACTAACATCTGACAGTTGTCATTAAATAAAAAGGTATGAATGCAAATTGTGTTTTAGTGGTGAAATCCCCATAAATACTTAATATTTGGCGACGAGGATCTTATTCACGTATTATTGAGTGCAATATTTAAAGTGAAATAGATACCAAGAAATAATGTCGAATAAAGGAAATGTGTTGTTCGGCAACAGCCTCACATTTGATCATATGCAAGAGTAGGATATTTTTAAGAGTCGATTTGTCCAGTTTTGTATGGCAAATGATTATCATGATGACACTGATAAAACAGGAGTTGTGAGAAGAGCTTTTTTTTTACCTCAAGATACATATCGCCTAGTACGTGACTTGGTTTTTCCGTTAAAACTAGAAGATTTAGCTTATAAGACTCTCATTGAAAAGATTGACAACCAGTTTTCCTCAAAGAAATGTACATTTGCGGAAAGATATGTTTTTTATAAAGCAGAACAAAGACCAGGCGAAGATTTAACTGAATGGGCGGCTCGGGTTCGTCATCTTGCTCAGTTTTGTGGTTTTAAAATAGAACTGGAGACGGCATTAAGGGACAAGTTTGTGCTGGGATTGGCAAATGTCAAGGAAAAAGGAAAGCTTTTTAGTGAAAATATCGATAGCTTAACATTTAACAAAGCGTTGGAGTTAGCACAACGCGTACAATGTGCTCGAGTCGCAGTTCAAAGGTCATTGCAAGATGAGGGACTAGTCACATCATCAGCGACAGCCAAACCGGTGTTCGCTTTACGAGCCCAAGAAAATGCTGTTCGTCAAACTACAGCAACAAACACATCTTGTTCGGTTTGTGAATATAAGGACCATACTAAAGATAAATGTCGATATGCGAATTATTTTTGTCAAAAGTGTAATAAAAAAGGGCATTTAAAACGTGTTTGTAAGAGTACATATAAGAGCAACAATTATTTGGAGGTGGATGACAATGATTTAGTAAAAGGTATTTCATATGATTTGTATAATATTGGGTATTTAAACGGTATGCCGATGAGACTGGTCGTGTCGATAGCGTCAAAGCGAATTTTATGTGAAATAGATAGTGGTAGTGCTGTATCTGTTCTACCGGAAATGGTTTATCAATCATATTTTCACAATAATTATTCATTAAACCATTGTAACGTTATTTTAAATTGTTATAATGGCTCGAAAATATCTCCTTTGGGCTATTGTTTATTACCGGTGACGTATGAAAATCGTACTGAAATTATTCGTTTTTATATTATAAAAACAGATATAAAACAACCAGTTCTGTTGGGTCGTAATTTTATAACGTGTTTTAATATGAAACTGTGTATTGGTAACTGTAACAACTTAGAACATAACGATTTAGTAAAAGAATTGAAGGAAACATATTCACAGTTGTTTACAGATGAGCTGGGAACTTTTAATAAATATAAAGTAACTTTAAAAATAAAAAATGATGCTCAGTTAAAAGTTTTTTAAGCCGAGAACAGTACCATTAGCTTTGAAACATAAAGTTGAATTAGAATTAAATAAACTTTTAGATTTAGGTATTTTAGAGCGCGTAGATTATTCAGAGGTAGCGACACCGATCGTACCCGTTCTTCGGTCAGACGGTAACATACGAATATGTGGCGATTATTCAGTGACGTTGAATAAATTTTTATACTCTGATAATTACCCGCTTCCACGAATAGAAGATTTATTTGCTAAGCTTCATGGTGGCGTCCAATTTTCAAAATTAGATCTTTCTAGAGCCTATAATCAGCTGGAGTTAGATGACTCTAAAAAATTAACGTGTATTAACACCCACATCGGTTTATTTTGTTATAATAGATTAGTTTTCGGACTTTCATGCGCCCCAAGTATTTTTCAGAAAACAATTGATCAACTTTTATCAGGTATTAGGAGAGGGAGTCTGCGTATTTTTAGACGATATCTTAATAACGATCCCAACAAAAGAGGAACACCTAAAACGATTACATCAAGTACTTAGAAAATTACAGGAATCAGGACTTAGATTAAAGTAAGATTAATGCGATTTATTTAAAGACTCAATTGAGTATTTAGGTTTTATCATAGATAAGTCAGGACTACGTAAATCAAACAATAAAGTGAAAGCAATATTAGAAAGTAAATGTCCTAATAATGTCACGTCATTGAAATCATTTTTAGGGCTTATTAAATTATTATAGAGGATTTGTGACTAATGCATCGACTTTATTAGCACCCTTGCATTCACTTTTAAAAAAAGGCGTAAAGTGGGTGTGGCAAGAAAAACATTTAAAAATATTAAATAAAATCAAATATGAATTAGCGTCTGACAGGGTGTTGGCACATTATAATCCCGACCTAATTACAATAGTGACGGCTGATGCAGGGCCGAACGGGCTCCGCGCAGTGCTCGCTCAGCGACAGCTTGACGGCGTCGAGCGAGTGGTGGCATACGCATAGCGTTCGCTCATAAATGCCGAACGAAATTGTGCACAAATTCAAAAAGAAGCGACTGCTATCATTTTTGATATAAAAAAGTTTCACCACTATTTATACGGCCGCGTGACCCCTTTTATTTTGCGAACTGATCACAAACCCTTGGTGTCGATTTTTGGTGGTAAAAAAGGTATACCCGAAATGGTAGCGAATAGACTTCAACGATATGCTATATTTTTGTCCGCATACAATTTTACGATAGAGTAAGTCAAAAGTGAAAATAATGTTGCCGATTTTTTATCACGATGTTCAGTAAATAATTGTTCTGAAAATATTGAATGTAGTCCAGTCCAGTAGTTAATTTTATTAAATATGTTAAAACCTATTACGGTAAATGACATTAGGAAAGACTACACAAGCGACAGTAGCCTAATGGCAGGCCATCGCAACTCAAAAGTGGTTCATCCCCTTTCACCCCCCCACCTTTTCAACTTCCAGGAAAAAGGAATATTAGAATGTTCAAATAAGATTACTAATATTTTTCTAAAAAAAAAAAAAAACTATGCAAGATCAAATACTCTGTAAAATTAAAAATTTTGTTATAAATGGCTGGCCTTTGAAAATGCACAACGCGGAACTTAAACCGTATTTTAAATGTAAAAATGATTTAAGTGTCGAAAATGGGTGCCTATATTAAGGGGACATAAAGTGGTTATACCAACAGTTTTTAGGGAAAGTCTACTTAAAGAATTGCATAAGGGCCCATTTTGGCATTGTAAAGACTAAAAATGAAGCGAGATCGCGTATGTGGTGGCCCAATATTGATAAGCAGATTGAAGAAATAATAGGATCGTGTAGTATTTGCAACTCGCTCCGCTATGATCCACCCCGTTCTCCACTGGCATCGTGGCCATTTCCGAAACGTCCTTGGGAACGAGTTCATTTAGATAGGTTTTCTTTATCCAACAAACAATTTTTAATTATTGTAGACGCACATTCAAAGTGGATTGAATATTTCCAAATGAATAATAATGA